TGATGGAAAAATTAAAACTCAAATATTTGTAAAACAGCATTCATTTTTATGAATTCAATAATATTTAAATTTTAAAAAATGACAGGAAGAAAAGCTCATGCACTTTATTTAAAGCAAATTAGAATGGTGTCATATTATTAATATAATTTGAAAACTAATTACAATTTTAAACTCTTAACTGTGTATCATTTTACACAATTGAATCCTTATGCTCGTAATGTTAAAATACATAATTGCTACCGAAAATTTAAAGTGTTGGCCCGAATAAATATTGTTAAATAAATAAAAAGCTACTGCATTTTCAAACAATAATATGTGAAAAATTTTTACTAAAAATTTAAATTGTTGGCCCTTATAAATATTGTTAAATAAATAAAAAGCTGTTAAATTTCCAAACAATAATATGTAAACAATTGTTGCCAAAATTTTAAAGTGTTGGCATGACTAAATATTGTTAAATAAATAAAAATCTGCTGAATTTTCAAACATTAATATATGAACAGTTAATAAAGCATTTTTTATTGTTGTTGAAAACAATTAAAAACAAACTTTTCTCTTTTATATTAAATTTTTACAAACATTTTAAAATATTAGCAGGTTGTATTTATATATTTTAGTTTCAGATTATTATCCAACACTCATTAAAAGATTTGAATTCATGCGTAAAATGGTGATCGTTTAACTATAGTTACTAATTTTAAAAAAAAAGAACACCTGACTTAGAAAACCAATTATAATTATTAACACAAATATTTCATGCTAAGGATAGTTATTTGATAATATTTTTAAACTTGACATAAAGCGTTAGATTAATATATTATTAATCCGGATTCAAGCTGCATTTAGTTTTTACTATAATTTATCATCTAAATTTAAAAGAAATCAAATTAATTTGTTAAATATATATTAATTTGTTAAATACTATTTTCACATAGTATTATCTATCATATAATATTATTGAAGATATTAGATATATTTTTCACATATCTATTAGTTATAAAAATTATAATTAAACTATTAATAGGATGTAAAATATATATTTTTTGAATATGATATTAATAAAAAAATATATCTTATTATAAAGATTTCTAAAATTGTAGTTATGTTAGCTTAATGACATTAGTTATAAAGTTCGTAAATATTACTATTTCCATGCCATTTGTGTTCTCTTTAATATTTTTTGTTTCAGATTACTACGTGGATGCCTCACGAGAATCACCTGCTTCAATTTCAGATAACACTTTACGTCACATTCTGCAACTAGTTTCTTTAGGTACTGGTTTAAGAGTCCCATCGCCCCTTAGCTTGAGAACCAGAGAAAAATCACTAAAAAGAGCACGAATTAGTGTACCGCAACAGCGCGCCCAATATACCCCTCGCAACCAAGAATTTACGATTGGATCGGAATTCTTGGGAAAACGTTCTTATAGTGAGCCAGAGGACAAAAGAATGGGGTCAGAATTTTTAGGTAAAAGAATGGGATCGGAATTCTTAGGCAAGAGAATGGGATCCGAATTTCTGGGGAAACGAATGGGATCTGAGTTTTTAGGAAAGAGAATGGGATCAGAGTTTTTAGGCAAAAGAATGGGTTCAGAATTTTTAGGAAAAAGAATGGGCTCGGAATTTTTGGGCAAGAGATCGTATGAAGATGATGACACAATGGATGATTTACCTTACAAAAGAATGGGCTCAGAATTTTTGGGTAAACGATTAGATGATATCAGTGACGAAGAGCAAAGCCAGGAAGACTCTATCTTCCATTCCAATCGTTCTCAATCATCTGAACATCAGAAAAGAATGGGGTCAGAATTTCTTGGCAGAAAAAGGAGAGATGTCGAATTTGAACGGAAGTGGAATTCTGGAGCGTAGGGTGAGAGGGAGATGCAATACGTGTTTATTTTGTGTGTCTGTCTTCTTGTCGAATGTGTGTTTTGGAATGATCAAACGTGTTTGGACAACGCTCTAATATGGCACAAATACGTAACTGTATGTATTAGTACTAGTCCACGAATGAAATTAATATCTTTTTTTTTAAATTTCTGAATTTTAAATTTTATTTATTTTTGGATGACATACACAAATTTCGTGCTCCAATTATACTCTTGTAACCAATTTTTTTATTATTTTTCTTTCTTTGTTGTTAAGCTGCCGTCAAATAACATTGCTTATGGAAAAAAATCTAATGACTCATTGATTTCAATGACTAAAATAAATCAATGATTAAAATAATCAATAAGAATGAAAAATATCAATGACTAGTATTAATACATCCCTTTTTGACAGAAGTACGGGACATTATTTAGTGTGTTTTTGTGTTTATAAGCATGGTTTAGTTTTTTTTTAAATATTAAGTTTCAAATGTCAAGTTAATGTCTTGCATTTATATATTGAATGATGAAAACATTATTTCATTTTTAATTCTTGATTTCTATTTTACAG